GAGAGAGAGAGAGAGAGAACCATGCAGTTACCCAGGCTGTCCTGAGGGTGGCGGGGGATTTAGGGAGATTTGCAAGGTGAGGGCTGGGATGAGCTGGGGTGAGGACTGGAAATTGGCAAATCGGTTCAATAGGGGCAGTTGTGAGTATGCAATGGACCAGAGAATTAACTCCTGAGAAGCACCTACTATAACCCCGAGGGGCCACTAAGTGCCTCTTTATTAACAAAGAAAAGGACTGTTGAAAAACGAAGCAAGCTGCTCAAGTCACCTACCTAACTAATGGTGAGGGCCTTGGGTTCAAATGCAGGTCTGTGGGTCTCCGCCACCCTTCCTGAATTTAACACTTCTGCAATCTGGTAAAGGGTTGGTAAAGAGACTTTGGTGGAATCTGCCGCTCTGTCTATGCATAGACCTGATTTCATTATTTTCCAATTGAGCTGTTTGTTTTTGCTGTAATATTAGCTGGTTGCTAAGCAACTGCTTACAGAGCTATGATGCTGAACTTTTTTTGGAAACCAAGGAAGGCCTCAAGAAGAGTGATATGAGCAAGAGTCTGGGGTGCAGCCAGATGGCTGTCTGTCAGCCTGCTCTGGCTTGTTGGGTGACTTGCCCTTGTAAAATGAGTTCACTGTGAAGATGGAAAGCTTTCTCTGCTGACGGAGTCCCTTAGCTTCCCTGGGGCCTCAGCGCAGTCACCTGTGGAAATGCTTATTTCATAAAGAAGTGTGGTGAACAGAGCACAAGGGTCCCAAGAAGCTGGCAGAGTTTCTGATGTGTCATAAAGGTCCCACATCATTTTTACTATTAGAATTCAAACAGAACTTGGGTAAAACATTGTGTCGTATCACCAGTTAGAAGTGAGTCTCTTTTGGGGTCTGCTGGTCTTTTTGGGCTCCACAGCTATTGCAGCAAATAGCACCCTTAAACTCATCCCAAACCAGTGCCATAACACTGTTCATGAGTATATCTATGGGTGAGTCATGTGTCAGAAGCAGAAAAAGTTCTCTCTGAGCACCATCAAGTCAATATGGTTGTCTATATGTCGGGACAGTGTGTGTTTCTTTAGGGCTTCTGATAGAACCACAGTTCTCAGAATTCTGGTGCTTAGGCGTTACATAGGTCCGAGGTTACCAACTGATGAACAGGTGGGAGGCCCAATGTAGCCTAGAGATGTGTTTATAATAGTTTGGCTCCACAGCACTAAAAACTCATTTAAAATTATTTGTTAATATTGAAAAAGTAAAATATATGACAATTCAGATTCCTGGATTCTGGGAATTCTGCAGAAATATGAAGATCTAGGAACTTCAGCCCTGTCCCACCAGAATGGTAACTCCACAAACGGAGCGGAGAGATGTCGTTCACTGAGCTGGGTCTGCTGTCCCTCTTGAGTTCATACTCGGCTTTCCTGGGCAAGGTCAGGGAAGACAGTGATGGAGTGTGAGGTGCAATTCTCCGTACTTCAAAATTCCTGAGAATCACATACACTAAGCAAAACGATAACCAATGACAATCCGTGTTACCTAGCATTGAGTAAGGTCAGTTTTTAAGCCTTTGTCCAAAGAAACATAGGGGTGCAACATAATGCCATTCCCATGGAGTGTTCCTTAAAACTTGTTTCCCACAAAGTCAAGTCAGGAAATGGACCCCTGAGGGGAGAGTAGAGACTGCAGCATCCTATAACGGGGCCAGTTTACTTTCAATTTGTTGGCCTGAAGTGCCCCGCAGGTGCTTCTGAGGAAGAGCCCAGAAGGCGGAGGGTGGGCAGAACAGAGTTCTGCAGTCTCTCTTTTCAGGGGGTCTAAGTTGAGGTGGCTCTGGCAGCCTATCTGCTCTCTGGTAGCCTAGCATCCTGCTAACCACCAAATTTCCCCAAGCTGCCAGGGATGAGGCATGACTGAGAGTCTCATCTGGCCACATGGGGGAGCCCCTGCTCCACACACTGGGATTCTGGGGTCCCAGTTGGAGCTGGACCTGGAGAAAAAGCTGCGTGTGTGTGCATGTGCGTGTGTGTGTGTGTGTGTGTGTGTGTGTGTGTGTGTGTGTGTGCGTGCGGGCGTGTGT